ATGAAAACAATAAGTGATAAAGGGAGTTCGACGAGCTCGCGGGAAGAATCGCGCAGAATTTTCGCGCGTAAAACCACGCTGTTTACGAACATGTTCATGAGAAGGTACTTTTTTTTTCGCCGAATGGCACGTTTATATCGCCACTCCCTTGCTCTGGTTCAGCAATGTTTACATGTGTTTGCAACGAACCGGCGTGTTGTCGCGCACCTCTGGGGGAAAAAAACGTTCTCGGTGGCTGCACCGTGATCATTTTATCGAGCGTTTCCGCGTAAGTGCGGTAACTGATCGCACCGTGAGCTTGCGAAGAGGAGAATAAAACTTGTGCGCGCAGGCGATCCGGGGAAAATCGCGTTTCGATCGCGCGCCGGAAAATAAGATATCTGCTCCGTGTACATACAAAGGAAATGACACTTTCTATGCATAGAAAAATGGACAGGATCTTATTTCCATTTCCTGGCGCACCAGCCAGCGTTGCGCGAGGCATTTTGTCGCGAAACGATCGCGCGTTAAGATAAAAGTACTCAGAAATGCGCCTAAACCTGGATATTCTTATCGTTTTGGTTTTTAATTGCGAATATCTAAATTTTCGGCCATGAATATACGCACATACACTTAATATGTATATATATTCTACAATTATGGATTCTATTGGGAACGATTCTGAGCGGGAAGCATAAACAGATCCTGTTTGGTTAGCACAGCGAATTTTTCACGCCAATTCGCGTAATACTGGACATGTTTAATAGTACTTCGTCAATGCTAATGTACGCGATTCGAATCTCCTCGATTCGAAAGTTTCGAGTTGTTCGAATCATAGGGATTCGGATTCGAGTCGAATCAGATGAGATTCGATTCGAACAATTCGCATATCTCTAGATCCTAATCGAGCAATACGCGGACGTCCCGACGGGGAACGACGCGGCGTGGAACGACTTTCGGCCAACCGAGCCATCTCATCGGCATATTTCTGAGTTAATTTCAGATGGACTTTTAAATGATCCCGCTCATGCGTCATCGATTAGCGTCATTTTCCACTCAGATAATACCCGAAAATCATATTACTCTCGCCTTTGATTCTCTCGACGGCGGCGATGATTAAAGACGCGCGACGACGGACGAAAGAGCGCTGTTTAATAATTCATGATCGCACGCGCGCCCACGGAACAGACTACGCCGAGTATTTCAGCCGAGCAAGAGAGAGAAGGGTGCCACCACATTCTGCCGACGTCGTCGCCGTCGGTTGGCACAACTCTACCTCATCCGCTCCTCTCTACTCTTTCCGCACAGAGAGACGTGCGCTCGCTTGCTAGCTAGCTAGCTCTCGTGCGTTTCCTTCCCACCCGCGCGGTCTCGCGGCAATGCCCGAATTTTGAACATTAGTTTGCGAACCATTTAGCACAACTACTCTACTGTCGGCCTCTTCCCTCCCCCCTCTCTCTCTCTCTCTATCTCGGCTACCTGTGAAAGCGTAGTTCGAATCACGCCACTGCATACATCGCGTTCTCCCACATATAGATTCAACCGCAACGTTCTCGCTACCGAGGGCACAGTCATTGTGCATTAAGCCTCGTGGAGAAGTCCAGGATACGCGTGGCGGCCTCCCGGGGGATGCAGCGGCTTCGCCGTGAGCAATTCCGCCAAGAAATTAGCCTTTCTTGTAATTTGCGAGGTTTGCTCAACCCCGGCGCGCCGATGAGCCTCGAGAGGGTGCGCGTTACGCCCGCACGCACTTTTCCAGGGATTTGCTTCACGAGTAACGCATGTCTCTAATCTTGCGCGCGAAGAAATTTTTCTGTCATTTGTCATGAAAGAAATGTTGATTGGCAATCTCGATTTGATTATTTTATCATTACCACATTATAGTTATTACAAATATGCGTGACAAAGAATACAACATCGATGAAACTCCCTCCGTTTTTGCCGATTCGGTCGGCAGCAGTCGGAAGTAAAAATAAATTGTGATGAAAAACATCTGTGCTATTTTTACTTTTAAATCATATATAAAATTTTCATCTTCATCCTTCTCGAAACCTACTTCATGTTGGTTGAATCATTTTTGTTTAAGTACGACCAATTCATTTTAGATTTAGTAGATATTATTAAATAAGAACAAACATGTTTAAATACTAATTGCATCCGATTTTTAGGAAATCATTTTTTTAGTCCAAGTTTTTTTAATAAATCGATTCTAATTATTCCGATTCAGGATCGGTTAGAAAATCAATTTCTTTTAAAAAATCGCCCATCATTAGTTGAAATCTAATTGTAAAGTGAGCATATATTCGATCATCCCTTCTTGTACGTGCCCGATGTTTCCGGGCGCGAATTATTTAATTCATCCTGAAAAGGATCTCGTTCTTTGCGCGAAAATCCACTATATCAGACATTCACCGTTCATTTATCTTACATCTATTAAAGTACATTAAATCACGTAAAAATATACCCGGATAGCGGTCATTTTATGTAACGCTGAACACGTTGGAAATTTGCTTTCCTTAAAGGACCATTACGTTAGGGCGCAGCGATAACAGAATTAACGCCGGGGAATTTCCGATAGAATAATGACTTTAAATAAATTACAAAGCGATGAAGCAAATTTCGCGCCATAAGTCGAGCCGTTATTTCACGGCTTCCGCCGTTTGGGGAAATCGCACTTTCGAAACAGCGGCGATCTTATATAAATAATTTTTAAATATTTTCATACATAGAAGAACAAATTTCTTTGAATTTAATAAAATTTCCTTAATTGAAACAAATTTATTTTTTGAAATAGGGCAAGCAAACGAATGTTTTATTTGATAAGTGGGATTATTTGGTTCTCAAACAATAAATATCTCTTTATATCAGATAACATATTTCTTTTACATTTTCATCCAAACATTACAATGGTTGTTACAACTAAGAAATTATTTGGAAGAAGTGACACTATATTAGAAAAATGTTGAAGACTTCTTTGTTTCTGTGGAACAATACTTAAAATGTAATAAAATAAAATTTTCCTTTATTGGGAACTAAAGATTATTTCCTCTAAATAATATTGTTTTTTCTTATCAAATAACACTGTTTACTTTAGTGAAACAACATTTTCACTCAAACAAAATATAATGATATATTTGATATCAAATTATATTGTTTATATTAAACAAACCCAAGTCAGACAAACACGCGCGCTAGATCCAAAAATACCTTTTTCTCTGCGCAGCCAAGCGGAAAAAATAAACAAAAAATTGATTCGCCCACTGAAAATTCTGTTCACGTTGAATGCGACGCGAGAACTCCGCGTATACGCACACACCGAACGGCGTACTTCAACCAAACTCATAAACACGTAGTTTTTTTAACGAGATATTTTCATCGTCTAACACACACACACACACACACACACACGTGAAAGTTTGTGAACAGTTGTTCACCTCTGGAACCGAATACATCATAATATAGTTACGCCAACGTCCGGAACGGCGATATTAGTGAATCGCGCGCCGGTTGCGCGGTCGTCTATACTCTCTTGCCGATTATACAGATCGGCGAATTCAATTATACGCCGCGTGTAATCGCCTGACGGCGCGCGATAGCACGACGAAAGCCCGCGGAAAGACCTTTGCTCGGATACAGTCGCGCACGAGCGCCCGCGCGTTCTGTGTGCCCGATTTTCTCTCGCTTCCTTTCAGCGCGGATTACGGCCATTCGGATTTCAGTTAACATCGAGCAACCGTGACGCAGATCGCGTACAATTTCGGGACTCGGTGGATACTTGTGACCGTCAAACTTGAATTCCGCTTGATCTCATATACAATTCCTCGAACCTTCGCCTGAGAGAGAGAGAGAGAGTCGCGTCCGGCGTCCGCGGCTTCCGAAGCTCTCCGGAGCCGCCCGGGAAATTAATCTCGAGCCGAACTTCGGCACATGCCTGACTTTCGTTTCTCCCCGGATCGCGGTTTCGTTGCACTCGCCTCGATCTCGCGAGGGAGGCGGAATTACTTATCGAGTGGATGTAATAATGGGAAATAATGGGAAACGTCGGGGGCGAGAGATGTCGAGAGGATCGTGAAAGAAAAAATATTGAACAAAACGCTGAAACTATGACTGCAAAATTAATTGCGATGATAACATTTTGTTGATGCAACAAAAAATGTAATATCTAAACATTTACCGACCTGTATCGCAATTATGACCGCGGCGAGACTCAAGCGTGCCAAGTTTTCGTCGTATGTTACTCTGGGAGAATTATGTACTTTTGTTAAAATTAGTGAATATTCAGCAGTAATTGCATGTGCAACGTTCACCTGACGTATATGTGTTGACATTATAAATAAAGTTGCACTTGTGCGATTTTCGACTCTACGCGTATTCGCGTAAGATCGAAAATCGTGGGAAACTTTGGCGAATAAACATCGAGATATGTGTACAAAGCTCGGTATTTATGACGATGAGATTTGAAATGGATCGCTATTTTTTATATTTTTATATTTCTTTTATATTTCTGAAGTCGATAGAGTTCTGGAAGCGCGCGAAAATCGCTCGATCGTGAGCACAAAAATGGCCGCGTCGCAACGTTCACTCGAATCGAATTAGAGGCGCTAAATCGACTCCTAAACGACGCTTCTGATCAACTTATTCACAAAGCTTCACGCATCAATCTAACAATTTCTACCGAAATATTACGATCCTATCGAAATATTACCCTTCATCTCGCGAAATATTTTGCACACGCGTCAAATAGACGCTATCTTTTGCTTGTTTCCTACGCGATTAGCAAAAATGGCGTCTCCGTCGGAAATTTCGCGGATAGACGAAACAGAGTCGCCGAAACTTTTCCCCAAGATCGACCGACCTTGAAAACGACAGCCGTGTGGCGCTCGTACGTCTCAAGAAGTGAGACCGCAAACACGCAGCTTCGGGCGAAGTTTTTCAATCGCGCGGGAATAGCCGGCGAGCGTCGCGACAAAGGGACACGTTCGAAAAGTCGCGAATAAGCGATCATGTCGAAAGTTGCGTACACTGACTCACCGCAGCAGGCCGCGACGAGGGTTCAGCAGTGCAGCGGATCGGCCAGCAGCAGTGCAAAGATCCTCGAGGACATAACTGTTGCTGCGTGCTCGAGTATCGGACGCCGAAACAAGTTGCCGCGCGCTCCTCGCGAATGTGACGCCGCGTGCCGTACCGGCGTAAAGATGGTGCGCGACTGATGCGCGCCACTCGCGCGATCTGCCTTTTATTGGCCGAGGCTTACGCGTCTACTCGAGCGCTGACCCCCACTACTTGAGACAGCAGACTTCGCTCCATATGCCGCCTCGATGGGATTACCCGCTAATAAATATTTTTCTCATTATATTATACAATTCAGCTCCATGTATATTTATGTTTTTATCTGAAAAATAAATCTATGATGTATAAAAGTGGCAAGATTCATTTCTCCCGTAAAATGATTCATCGGAAGCAAACGGTGACGCGAGATTCGGTTGAAGTATGAAATTTTAACGAATGTAAAAAAACTGTATAAAAAAAATATATTTGATCTTACAGTTGATAATTGAAAGTGGATAATTGTGAACTGCGAAGCAATAACGTTCAAAGTTTTATCTTTGAATTTGGTCATTTAGCATATAAAGATGTTGATAAGAGATATTGATAAGAATATATATAAAGATGGTTTCTCTAACTATAATGAATTTGAGACAATTGAAGGGAGCTATTTACGATAAGTCAATTCTGCAATTAAGAACGTGAATATAAATGACGGGAAATTTCTCTCAGTCGTAGAAAAAACAATTATATCTTTAATGTTACTGTGCTTATTAATGTGCATGTAACACATGTCTATGTAGTTTAGTATATTAATAAAAAGTAATAAGAACATATAATCACCTGGGAATTAGGTCAAGGTTCATTTATAGTCATGTACAAAAGTCTCTTTTCTATCATATAAAATTCATTTTCTCTCGAATATAGCATATAAATATACTATATGTTACATATATATATGTGTTAAATAATAAATGTTATATAAATATACGGAGCATTGGCATCAGATGTTTTTATCAAGGTAACTTCCTCTTCGCAGTTTCCTCATGCACTCTAACAGGAAGAGTGGAGCGAGGGCCACATTTCCACACATTGCCGTCTTTATCGAGTATGCTCGCACTCGCTGTGATTTGATATTGTCCACCACTGATGCTACCACCAGCACTTGTCGAGCCGACTTGGTACGTTGCAGCCATAGATCCAGGACATCCCAAGGAAAGCAGGAATTCACAGGCGAAGAAATCGCGGTGAGGTATTACCGTTTGCTGCAGCTCGTTCATGTTGGAATCCTGCACACAAACATGTGTTCAATAACAGCGAACGAATTCGACAGAATTTCCCAAATTAACTCTCTCGAAACATTACAGTTGTAATGTATTGATTCATCTTACCTTTTGGTCGACATTTATCTTCGAGGGCGGCGTGGTCGAGATGGAGATGCACACGGCAGCGACGGAACGGAAGAGGGACGCTCGTCGGCCATGTCGCAACACTCCCTCGACTTTGAGCGCCAACTGACTACCCTGCGGAACAGACACAGGTTCGCCGAGGACACGTGGTTGAGGAGATACCGACAGCTTCACGCTAGTTGCCTGTAGGGCTTGGAAATAGTAACGTGGCATTGGCAATCGCATCGTTCCGCCGGCCAGCAGAGTAGTTTGCGATATCAAGCAGTTAATTCTCGTGTGACTAACTGCACCGACTTTACCCTCGGTCATCGTAAAGCTCGGCGATAAACGACATAACTCGACGCAACACCGAGCCAGTTGTCGCATCTCCACGGTCTCGCCGAAATTGAAGATCTTATCCTCCTGCAGATACATAGCTGATACGCCAGGCCCGCCACAAACTCGTTCCACGCTAATCGCCATTAATCGGCATATTTCTTGCAACCTGCACGTTGTGAATCAAGGCAATATGTTTTGTACTCAATAAACGACGCTCGATTGAGATATATTCTGAAAGGATACGCCCGGATGTTCGCCAACGATCCCGGATCGGCGTCGAAAGCTGACTGGTATAACTTCTGGTAGTTCTCTGCGCAAGTTTTCAAATCTTGCGCGGACTTTCTCAACTGAAAGAAGCGAAAAACGCAACTCATAACTTGTCACATGATTTAATCGCGCAAATTATTACCTGATACGTGACACGCCCGTATCTCTGAAGCTCATCCTTTGTGGCGTCGACAACCGTGACAGCTATAGCGGGTGGTGGCGCAGTGCACAAAGATCTAAAAACAGAATCTTTACAGCAGCTGTAACATTTTCTTTTAATCATATACTATACTATACTGTCACTTACATACACGAGTGTAATAGCTGTGCTATCGTCTGCAAGAATTCGCAGCGTAATTTGGAATATTCGCTCGCAAACTGTAAACTTCGTAACGGAGTGCTGGCAGCTTTGAGAGACGCGCAAGCGCTCGCGTAGCGCGATATTGCTCCGTTTAGTCTCTCCACGATCTTCATCTTACTCACAGTTTGTGGGTCTTCGACTTTCTCTCTTTATGTGGATATTATCGTGTAGAAAATATAAAGATACATAAGATAATGTAGTCAGAAATATATACAGGTGAAAGAAATAATATACGTACGTGAGGAAGCACTCTGCTTTCGTAACTAATTCTAAGCCAGACAGCCAAAAGTGTAGTTGCTCCGACGCTACAGCTTCCTTCAAACTTTTGAATATTTCAGTGGCGATAGCATGATGGCCATATCTGGCGGCGCTACGCGCGATTCGATATTTGGCCCAGTCGTCCACGTTTTTCACGATGTTGTCGACTGCCTCCAAGCACTCTATATTCCACTCGAATCCTCCAGCCATCATTTGAAACAGTAATGTACACAGCATTACCTTAAATTATAATTATAATTTTATTTATGATTAGCTTTATAAAGATAAAACTACTCACTAAGGTATTACTTTTTCCTGAATAAAGAAGACAAATCATTATATATATTACGAAAGAATCATTTACCTTGGTATGAACGTGCGAGGTCTGTTTGAGTTTTATCAAGATATCAGGTAGAAGTGGGAGCAGTGCATTTTGTCCCACGCTACCAATAGCACCTAAAGCTTCACATAGGACAACCGTTTGCTTCTCGTTCTGGTTATTTTCCGAACTGGCATTGATGAGAGTAGAACCGATAGCGTCTACGAACACGGAGCAGTGCTCAAGGTGTGACTGACACAGTTTTACTGTCGAACGTAAGCACGCTTTCAGTTGATGCAAGTGCTTTTCGTCCAAAGCTAGTAATACAATCAGAGATTCGAGGCAGGAAATTACATCTTGTATGCCATGAACAGGCAATCCTTCTTCATAACTGTTAATATAATAAGTTTTATCAAATATTTACTTTCTGTATAGAAGAACTATATTTTGTGTATACATACCAATAACAAGCAACACGAGTAAGTACAGTAACCGCTTTTACTGCGACAAATGGATCTGGTGAGTAACAAGCATTTACGCATAATTGCAACAAGGGACTGTTTTCATCCATATTTGCGTCACACGTTACAACATTCTGGCTAAGTACCTGCATCAGAGAAATTTAATATGTATGTGTACATATGTGTGTGTGTGTGTGTGAAAATTGTGTAAAATTATTTCAGCTAAAAATGATTTATATAAATTTATACAGACCTCAATTACATCTAGAGTACGAATAAGAAGATCTGTATTTCTAGTACCATCTTGTAAGAGTGTCGTAGTACTCTCTGAATAATTAAATATCGATTAAATATTGATTAATACCATTTGCACAGATATTAAGTGTATAAAATATAAGTGATATATAAGTGTATATAACATTCACCAATAAGATTGTTAAGAGCACCCTGCGGCCAAAGATGCGCTCCTCTTCTCGCTAAACTATGTAGAAGATGCAGAGCGTGACGCTTGATTGACAGCCTTGGATCATCTTGTAAATAGCGTAACAATAGCTCAACTTGCTGTGGAACATCTATTAGTGTCGCAGAAGCAAGTGTACTTAATGCACTCAGAGTAACCTTGACAAAATCAGCTGCTGGATAACTCGCAAGTAACTCCATACATAATTCATTTACCTTCAATAAAATATAATTATAAGAATCTGATTTTGTGTATGAGAAGCATTAAATTTTTATTGAGAAAAGGAAACATTACCATTGATGCTGTGAAAGTATCGTGATGCATATATTGCAAAATGGGTATAAGCTGTAATTTCATGGAGGCAGGTGTGACCTGACCTCTGATCATGTCAGAAATTTTACTACACATAGACACAGCGAACAATTTCGATTGTGCTGCAAACATTTGAGCAGCATATATAGCAGCTTCCACTTCAACAGAATCATGGGAATCTAATGATCTTCTTATACTATGATGTACCTAGTGAAATAATAATTCCATTAGCTTTCAAAAGTTACAGATTGCATGCCGCAGAATTAAATATTTAAATAGTAGTACCTGTTGTCTCTCAGGAATAATACCAGCTACACTACCCAATGTACGCAGAGTCAGAGCTCTGGCAACTGGATCATTAGAGTGTATAACACTATAGATACGTCTGACAAACTCGTCTACATTTAAGATCTTATCTAGATGCTTTTCACTCTGCTGACATACCCTCAGAACCCATACTCGTAGAAAATTACTTCCTGTACGAAATACTTCCGCCAATTTCAACAGGGAGGAGTTTATTAATATTGGAAAAGGATATTTCTCAAATAGTCTAGGAAAACGTACTATAGCCTCACATTGTTCCCCAGTTTTTGCAGAACGTAAGCCTGAAATATATTGATGAATTTTATCTAACTTATATTTTTACATGAATATCTAGATATGTATAAATATATATTTATGAGTTAATATATAATTTATCAAGTGCTATAGGTTAGAAAGTCAAAAATATAAACCAACCTTTATCAAGCTCTATAAGCGCCGTATTCGCATCTTGTTCGGGTTCCCCGAGACCAGTATCGTTAAATGCATTCATTCTCATTCCAATCATTTTGTACGACGCAAATTTTATATGCAAAATATTCAAAGAAACGTACCGTTATTTAAGGTATATCGGTGCACGAGTAACCTATTTGATATGCATTGTGTATAACGTTATTCGAAACCTTTCTTCCTTAATGCGCAAGTCCGCGTTAAACCTAAAGACAAATTTATCAAAATAATAACTTTTTAAAGAGATGTGCACAGAAAAATCATTTCATTCGTACTTACTGAGTCGTCGACTTGAATTATTCAAAATCACGATTAACTCCTAACCTCTCATTCAGTCGCATTGTTTAAAAATAAGATTTTCTCAATTAATTATTGAGTCGTACTATCAGTAAACGAAGGTCCGTTTGATCTGCTATTAAGTCGTATTATTTGAAAATAAAGAATTTTCGCTGAAAAATAAAAGGTGGTGAACCAACCGTTGAGTCGTACTACTTAAAAGTACGAGTACGTTGAAGTTATTCTTGAGCTGTACTACGACCTTTATTTTTCGGGACAGTGGCGGCTCATAGCGGAAACTTTGACTAAATTTTGGAACATTTGGAACGATTGTGGACAGCCTGATGCTATTTGTACGTAATGTAAAAATAAAACATGATGTTGATAAGTCATTTTTTTATATTCATGGTCCATGAAAATTAATACGGCTACATTGATTACTGTATTTCCTTTTATTTTCATTTGGACTTTTGTATTCACAAGAAGCTATGCTTTTGCGTGTCTATCTCGCGGGTTCTATCAATGTCCTAATGCAGCTAAAAAAGAACAAACCTAGTGTGACATCTTTCGTTCTTCTCTTGCAGCAATTCTGGAAAGTTCACGACTGTCGACAGTACAGTTGACAATCAAGCTTCGACAAGTGTGATAGAAAGATCGTTGCTTCCGCGGAGGCAAAAGAAGAAATTTGCGCCTTTTGTGTGTCATATTCACCGGTGAAAAGTCGTTTAGCTGACGAACAACAGTGAACGAGAAAAGCGGTGATTAACCGTGCGATTAACGAATAACGATTGTTTTAGAATATTGAACGATGGTGGATTACAGCAAATGGAAGAGCATTGAGGTAAGAATACTATTCGCTTCCCGGTTCCGACACATTTATGGAATATTTTAGGCTCGAGATTAAATCTTCTTGGCAGTGTATGATTCATTTGCCGGTGATATGTTACGGCACGTATAACTATAAATGGAACATTAATTACTAAGTTTCAGGCTTCAGTTACATGAATAAAAACAAATACAACGAAGCAATATTCTGATATATTGCTGCATATTCCAACAATTACACCATCGGACATTTATTTTCTTGATTAGAAATCGAATCGTTTCTTACAATATAAATCAAATTTTACATTGTCCTATTTACAAATCATAATTCTGTATCTTTTTTTCTAGATCTCAGATGACGAAGATGATACACACCCAAATATCGATACGCCGTCACTATTCAGATGGCGGCATCAGGCACGAATTGAAAGAATGGAAGAACGTAAGAAGGAACATGAAGAGCATGAGAGAAAAAAAGCAGAGTATGAACAAAGCATTATCTTGAGAAATGGCTTTTCCTTGAAGCTAAGTTAAATTCTTATCTAATACCATCACTTGTTATTTCAGAACATTAAAGAAGTTAAAGGATACAAAAGAAAAACTGGCTAGATTAGAGAACGAACAGAAGGACTCGGCTGATTTGACTACATTGAAGAAAGTTCTCCAGGACCTTGAGGAGGAAGAAAAGAAGATTAGAGAGAAGGAGGATGAAATGGAGAAGAAGGAGAGATTGACACCGTGGAATGTAGATACCATTGGTCAAGATGGCTTTACAAAAACTGTGATAAATAAGAAGCCTCCTAGAAAAGACAACGATTCTGGTTTATCTGATGAAGAAAAGGAGAAACGAATGAAGCAGTTCGTCAAGGAAAATGAGAAGAAGCTCAAGGAGTTCGGCATGCTGAGGAAATATGACGATAGTAAGAAATTTCTGTTGGACAATCCACATTTGGTGTGTGAGAATACTGCCAACTATTTGGTCATCTGGTGCATCAATTTGGAGATGGAAGAAGTGAGTAGTTTTAACTGAGTTTCTGCTATCAATAGTCGATTTTACATTGCAATATTCGCTACTAACACTTTTAGAAACACGACCTGATGGAACATGTGGCACATCAATGTATATGCATGCAATATATATTGGAACTGTCCAAGCAATTAGAAGTTGACCCACGGGCATGCGTCGGCTCCTTCTTCAGTCGTATTCTAATTGCCGAAGTGGAGTACAAGAACTCCTTTGAAGACGAGCTGCGAGCATTTAAGGAGAGAATACGTAAGAGAGCAGCGGAGAAAATAGCTGATGCTGTTCGTGAGGCAGAGGAGGAGGAAAGAAATGCTCGTTTAGGTCCTGGTGGACTGGATCCCATGGAGGTATTCGAAAGCCTTCCAGAGGTAAACGAAATTTGACTTGCAAGATAAAAAACCGATATTAGAGAATTGTGTTCTATACATATGTGTTCATTTCAGTCCCTACAAAAGTGCTTTGAGACGCAGGATATTCCTCTGCTGCAACAAACAATAGCCGCGATGCCGGAGGAGGAAGCGACATATCACATGAAGCGATGTGTCGACAGTGGTCTGTGGGTTCCCGACGCGAAAGCTAAAGAAAAGGAGGAGCAGAATGCCGCGAAGGGAACGCCAGATCCAGAATAATGACGCATTTCTCTTCGATCTCATCGTACGTAGGATACTCAGTGAAAATCAGTATCTCATTTACACGAGTATTCTTTGCATAAAACCAAGACGGATACGTTGAAATAAAGTCGTTATGAGTGGGAAACACACTGGTAATATATGATTATTATCTCCATCAGCCGCTCTCGTCGCTGTTATAAAATTTTTACCGCGCGTTACCTCGCAATACACTCTGTTAACTTAAACTTAATTAGTTTATAAGATTAAGTTGACTTTTTCACACATAACAATCACTTGGAACACATAAGAAGAGTAACGACGCAAACGAACCGAGTGGATCAAGTAACAAGTGTTAAAACACTATATAATCTTCATTCTTTGTGTATAACTTGTGTTATTCCTCGAATTGCCTTCCTATATATATATGTGTACATATACTGTTAATCATGTCAACAATTATTTCAATATTTTACATCCACTCGTATGTAGTACATAGTATTGTATATTAATTGAAAACGACACCGTTATGTAAATAAAAATGATTCTATATCTGAAAGTGTCTAATGTTGAAATCATAATGTATTAATTGTCTCAAGAGCTGCTTCAGTTCTCAAGCTACAGCATTTCATGCTAATTTTATATACATCTTCGTAAATATCTTGCATTTGTAAAGACTAAGTTACACAGGATAAATATTCTGTTCATTTAGCAGAGTTTGATAAGTAAGACGTAGTATGTCCCGTTCGTGCTTGTCACTTTAATCAATTCATTAAAAGATATATAGATATCGTTGTGTGTATTGTGAATAGTACATGAAAATTATGCATGAATATTTTCAATATGAACATGAACACAGTATCATCACTGACAAGGTAAGAATAAAAACTGATAGTTTTAAACAAATCTTTTCTGTTATATTGGTTCATCACGTTCATTATGTTGTAGAATATCGTTCTGTCAGAGCAATACACTGGTGCACTATCAGAAAGGAGTATAGACGTCATGTACCTAAAAGTGCTATATATAAAAAAATATAAAAGAGTCAGTAGAAGGAAAAAGTGCAAAATTGATCTCAAGTTTCAGTATGTAGTCTGATGAAAGCTTACAGCTGGCGGTCTTTACTTTTATTTCGTCGGTACTTGTGTCTCATTGAAACACTGTTTCTAGTATCTTTAAACAGGGACTGAATATTGAAATGATTTCGCTACATGAAAAAAAAATTCGTTTTAAATCAAGAATAGATATTCTCATATAAAAACAAGAATATTATAATTTCTTAGAAGATTTTTAGTCTTGAATTGAGTTCAAGTAATGCTTGCATCAATATAAATTCAATCAAATCAAGACTAAAAGTTTCTTAAGAAGATTATGGTATTCTTGCTTATATATGAGAATATCTATTCTTGATTTAAGACTCATTTTTTCCATGTAGTTATGTTATAATAGTATATACCTGTTATAATAGTATATTATGTAGTAATAGTATATAATAGTATATACGGTATTTTAAAATACTGAGGAGTATTATAAAAATTTTAGTATAGTATTGTGTGTGTGGGGAGAGAGGGAATATCCCGTTATCTTTAAATTTTGTATTATATCGGTAAAATACCAACATTTACGAATTTCGATACAATATCAATATTATACCGATATTACTACTACACTAATGCTGTAAATATTAAATCAAATAAATTCATAATATAATCATAATATATAGTTTAAACAGAAGAACTTAAAAAGGAAATAACACGCATAAATTAGGAACATTCTTGATAGTAATACCAGTATAATATCGCTATCGTACCGAAATCTAGTATTATACAAAATATGATAACGGTATTGGACGTTCAATATCGTACATACTGAAATTTCCATAATACCGCTATTTACACAAATCGTTGTTGGATAATATCGAAAAATATCAAAAAATACCTGTATGAAAATGGTATTTTTTAAACCTTCGTTTCAATTCCCGTATTTAAAAATATCCGCCATTAGAGTCGATCTCGAAGCGCACGATCGAGCTCTCGACCGGAAACTGGGGGAAGCTCGTACGTGGCGCTGAGCGGCTCGTCCTTTTCCGGTGCGGCGTGCCACTGGTGCCAGGGTAATATTCTTCGTCTTTCATTCTCGTCGCAATACACTAGTTTCAGCATCTGTCGAAGGGCTAGTTGGCTTTCCAACGTGACGGGCTATGCGTGCCGTTCAAGCGGTGTCGTTATCCCGGCGCTACAACACGTCGGTCGATCCGAAATTTTCATTTGAACGCGGTTGAGTCGCGTAGACGCGCCCGTTACACGATGGAAAAGCTATCTGGCCGCTTCGCCCTTGTCAGTTTCTCATATATCGCTACTACTCGGTTTTGCATGGCGACGTCGTTCTTAGCGTTCTGAAGTACTACGCATTCCGATCGATCACGTCGTCGTGATGGTTGTGTGTTGTTACTTCGCGTAAGCGAAATGTGTGTTAAACACGAGTTCCTGAGAGCGAGAGAGCCCCCGAAAACGTTTAATTATGTCCTACGGTATGTATCAGCCGTTCACGTTTACATACGTCACGAGGCAGCGTCACGTTCCGATCGAAAGCTTTCCTTGTTTCCGACGCTGAAACCACGACGAAAAAAAAAAATCAATATCGCGTGACTCCGACCGGAATCCGTATTCCAGCCCGACGATACTACCGTTGATATATAGCTCCGATTGGACGTATATAGCGCATTTTCTCATGCTCGAAGCTACTTCCTTTTGCTTTGTTCATCTCACTTTCTCTCGGCCGTGCGTGAAAGTTCTCGAAAAAGAAAAAAAGGGGGAGGGGAGAAAACGAGATTTTACAAGGTCATGAAATTTTCTCGAACGGTCGCTCACGCCATTTTCTACGGCTTTGCCGTAATGCGCACAAAAGACAACATTCGTTCGAAAATGCGCCGCGCATTCTGGGTAAAATACGACGCCACGACCACTCAAAATGGCTGTCTAACGAGCGATTTCCGTTACGCGGCCGTTTCCGACGGACGGCGGTGAGGGATCGTCGTGCTAGGCCGAATCGGACTCGCGCGATCGCTATTTCACGTGCGAAAATCGCTCCGCATGATTTCCGGACCTCTGAAAATCCATTTGTCGTTTTCGTCGCAGAATTTCACGTCGCGAAAGTATCTCGCGTGAAGTACGCCTCAATTCCGGCGTGCGCGCGCACTCGCACAGGATAGGACGTGGCATGAGGAAGGGAGGGCGAGATGGCGCCCGCGTTGCATGCTGGGACTTGGGCGAGAGGGGGGACGGAGTGCGTACGGGAACGTCGAAGGAGCTAGTCTATTCACAAAATGGCGGACGAACTCGGGATTGCGAGCATATAGTGCGTGTGCCTCGATAGTTTTTCCCGATGTCGCGTTTTCGTACGCGGGTAAACCTTTGATACCGCGCAAACACGTACACCTCGGACACCTCTATCGTTGAATTGGCGGCACACCGCGGGCGGAAATCGTGAGAACGAAAGATATCGTTGCGACGCGTACATGAGCACAATGCAGGTGAGTGGCTTGTCGATATCGGAGAGGTGCGAGTGAAATTTTACCGCGATTTCACGGATTTTCCTGGCGATCTCTCGTTATTCGCGACCTCGCACGGCGTGTTTTAACGCGCGTTAAACGCGAGCACGTGTTTCGCGGCCTCGGGTGTTGTTTGGAATAGGGAATAATCGGGCTGTCGCGCGCCTTTCCACCTACCGATGACAGGCAAAAATGCCAAAAAAATTCGGAAAAACCCCGTTAGCCCGACCGCGGAGGGTTTGTACGCGTAGGGCGGGGTCCCGCGGACCCTCCAGACTCAGGAACTTGTGCCTCTTGCACCGCGATTTTCCACGACTTTACACACTTTTCCAGCCTCTCCAATAACCTATAAGTTTGTTTACGTCGATTCAACGTGACATTTATCACAGAAAATATCGTAGAACCACCCTGATTTTCGTCGCGAACGGCTCCTCACACTTCCCTCCAACCTGGTGTCATGCTTATTCGAAAATCGAAAATATACCCATTTTTGCAAATTAAGCTTGAATATCGGGAGATACATTCTCATCTGGTCATCAGGAACGTGCGAGACGATTCTCACGGTGGATATCCACGATTTTAGGACATTCCCAACATGCAAATGTTCAAAATATTCCTGTGCTTATGTTCTTTGAAAGCTCTTTATGGGAATTTCCATAGTAATTTCACAATTTAGTGTGAGACTTTTGGTATGGGTCTGTTGAGAAGCTGTCAATGACCTTGGTACAACCTACAGAGTGTCATTCTATGTGTATCATTCAGAATCTTGTCAATCATAGATTTTTGCTGCATCTGTCTCATGATAATGAGAATCATACTGTATCATGACACTTGCAAGGAATGCTTTATACCATGAGCAAAACACAAAACTACTGCATAATGCTGCATTTTATTCAGTCTCAAAACATATTTGTCTTAGTATATCACGAGGATAACATTAAAAGCAAATGTATACTTTTAATTGTCAGCTTTTTGGTGAGGAAATATAACTTTTCAGATAGTGACAAAGCTAGTTATGATATTCGTTGGGAGGATTGAGCAGAAATTTTAAGCGATATGCTTGTTATATGCCTCAGCTGTTGTACACACACAAAATGTGTGTGTAGAAATTACTGTGGCTTTTAAAGGGGTGCCGCATAAATATATCTATAATAACTGTTGGCGAATTTAATCAATCCGACTGTACTCATTCACATTCTGCTTATCTTAATCAATATTCAGCATATAAACTATCACTCGCAAGCTATCACTATATATTGGTAGTAAAGGTGCTCAACAAATTAATAGGGATTAACTTTTTCTTGCGAATCAATTATGCAATCACATAATATACATAAAATGTTACTGCAACAATATATAATTTTATACAAAATAGGCTCATTTTTACGCTTCTTTGTCATGTATATTTAATGGTGATTTACAATGTCAGCAGTATTATAGCTTGCAGTATTGGTTTTCTTTAATGTTTAATCACACACTACTGTCTAGTGATGTGTAGGTTGAAATTGAGTATCTATTGGAAACTTCTGTTGCAGAGAATTGAGCAATACATTCATTTAATGTACTTTCAAGAGTCAAACTCTTTGCTTTGATGAAATCAGTTTGATTTCATGCAAAGGGAAGAATTTTCTTCTGTTTATATCTTTAGTGTAATTTTTATATCACAATTCATTGTAGTTATGTGATAAATATTACAAATTGAGTATGATAAAGTGCTTACAGTAGCAAGATGCAAATATTTTAAAAGATACACCTTTAGAATCATAAAGTTAATGTGCACTAATAGCAAACATTAATTTATCTTTTATATATTCAAGAACCAAGAGTAGAATATACACATAAATATATATAGTATGTATCTACTGTTACAAATCGATATATATACATATATATATATATATATATGAATGTACTAATCTGATACATTTTACACACATTTGATATATATACTTAAAATATACGGGTATGAAATAATGTTACATATATTTAAAATATGTAGGCATTTCATATATGTGTGTATAACATAGATTATACACATATATATCGCTGGCTGGAAAATGTACTTATTTAAAATACCTAATAAATGTATAAACTTGCAACGTCATACTCTATTATTCATTTTCGATACCTGAACTTTTATCGAACTCCTAGGCTGTAAGAACATATATTACTTATGTCTTTAAATCTGTTTCTTTCATGCAAATAACATTAAAAGCGTTTTACAGTTTCGGTATTTGCGCCAGTATTTTGGGGAATGCATGCTCGAATTGGAAGGACCTCCGTCTGCGTTTTAGTTTGCTGGATACTAGAACGTGAACGTGAATGGATATTTTCCTTTGTTAAGCATGAAATTAAACGTGTTTCGATACGTAATATATATTGAATCGCATCGAATACATTATTTTCTCATGACACTAGTATGTAAGTCAAGAAATTATTGTACAATTGTAAGGCGATTACGATTATTTAACGAAGTTGCTTGGGAAATTGGTATTGCATTTGCAAGAACACAAAATGGCGGATGACCGCCACAAAATGGTGGGCGAATTCGTGTACTGTTCGTCGACATTTTGCGTCCGGGCTAACGGAAGAAACACGAGAATATAGGTTCGGTTGGGAACTTGATGCTTCTGCTGGTCGTCGCAGTCTATATTTCCGTTTCGAAAAAAAAGATTTTTCTGAAATGAAAAGCGAAAAAGAAATTATGCGATTGGCGATCACATCCAACGACAATATTATTCCAAACAACACACGATGAACGATATATCTTTTAGAGAAATAAAAAAAACCGTAATTATATGTTGCCGGTCTGATTAACTTGCAGAAGTCATTAGAGTCCGAGTCCGGTAAGGAATCCGGGTCGGATTCCGAGAATGAGAGTAAAAGCGATAGCTCTTCTTCCGGGAGTAATAGCGGTTCAGCATCAGGCTCGGAAAGGTAAGTTCGGTTGAACACGTTCGGTACCCTGAAAGTCACGAGACCTGATACACGAACTTGTATCGGCACGTATTTGTATCTACTCGAAAAGCAAACGAGTAATTAGAGAATCGTTTCTCAGTCATTTAGACTTTCTTTTATATTTTCAAAAGCGCGCAATAACGATTAGACTTGATCGATCGTTATTAAGCTTTTGGATAGATTGATATCTCTTTGATTGATGGATACGTTCTAACGTGGGAATATGGTTACATAATACATTGTGGATGGACGAGACGGGAAGACAAAAGGATTGAATACAAGTGCATATCAGGTCCTCTGATGTGTAAGGGTTTATTAGGATTAGCGCCACTCACAAACTGGCTACCTGTGTATTGCTATAGCTTCATATAGCACTAACGTTGTCTTAACAATTTTGCTAACTTTATGTATTACTGAGTATTTTTTGTGAACGCACACAATCCTCTTATACGTTATACTCGTCATATAATGTTCGCTTTCTTGTACTCGAAAATTATTTCTTCAATATTAGATAAGCTGTAATATCTTTTCATAGCATTAGGCTATACCTTCAACTCGTATTCTACTATCGATGGTATGAATCTCGATGTAGATATTACAAAATTAGATTGAGACATTTGTTGGAAACAGCATCTTGAAATATCTCTTGTATCGTGAAAAATACTAAATAGTCTTGACGTTTATATTCATTGCACTGATAATTTTTATCTTTTAACATATTACACGATGCACAGTTTTCTTTTATTATTCAGTAGCAACTGAGCATTTAATTCAATTTACAGATGTACCATTTAATTAACAGTTACATTTTTATTTTTTTTTTCTATTTATAATACGTTAGACAAATTTTTTTAATTATTTAAAAAATGTTTATTCGACATTAACAGTAACAAAAATTAAATAGAATTATGTTCTTAAATAAATAAATATATATATATATATATATTTATAGATAGCAAAGCAAGCCTGTAGTAATAATCAGAAATGATTTTTAATAAATGCTGAAGTTTCCTGCCCGTAAATATATATATATGTATATATATATATATACTCCTATTTTTATATGATTACGTTATCAGCATCGATAGTCGTTTCATATAAGTACGGTTCAAGGTGCTGTCTTCGTATATTATCTGTTCAAACATAATTAGTGAAATGTGAAACATTACTCGGCTGCTTAACGCAGTGACTCTAGCTCTTCGAGCAGTTCCTGTTCCGGGTCAGGCTCTGATTCAGAAAAGTCAGAGAAGTCGGATGCACCTGCACACAGTGATAGCTTCCAGAGCAAAAGCTCAAATCACAGCACAGAGACAAAGGTTAGGGTTAAACATGGTCGCGAGTGGGACGAGAATCCTGACATATATGGCATCAGGAGGTCCAGGCGTTCAAGGAAAAAGCCGGAAAGGCTCTCCACGAGCCACGGGAGCGACAGTGATAGTCGCAAGAAACACAAGACTAAGGGGTAAGTAAAATCGGGAGAATCTCTCGGCTCGATGATGGTGATGGTAATAATAATAATAATGATAATGATTATTATTATGATGGTCGTTGTAGCTTGGCTGAGCGAATTACTGCAATTACTGTTATACGAGGTCACGAAAGTATGAAAGATTACGATGGCGGCACCAATGAAAAGTATATTGTAACGTCTCAAGAGAGTTATTATCCTTGTTTCTTCACGCACGGATTTTTTTTATCGGTTGAACTAGAAAAACGACATGTTAATTACCGAGAGGTACGTGGACTATAGAACCACGATATTGTTTGGAGGTATACTGAAGACGAGATAGTATCGAGGAACTATTGTGATTAAAAATGTTCAAGACGGATATTACAATATGTTTTATCGGTGCCGTCGATATTTATGTTGTATGCACTATCGACGTGCGAAGCGACATTAAAAGCTGGTTTGGAGATAGCGGCAAGCTCATGATTTCTATCGGCTAATATAAAATAGTTTACGATTAATTTATACTTTGAACTTTGACTTTTTATCATTCATATTACAGGATATGTATTTTGCTATAATTTAGCTCTTTTATACTTATCACAGTAGTAAGATGTGACGATTTCACGAATGGTCTTTATTCGTTTTTGCTAGTTTTTGCTTGCTCTTTGTTATTATGACTTTTATGCAGCTATAAAAATGTAAATGGATAGATTTACAAATAACGGTCGTCAGCTCAGGTTAATGACGATATCAGGGTTATTATATTATCTTGTACAATTACGTTATCTTGTACAATTTAATTATTATATTATCTTGTACAATTACGTTATCTTGTACAATTTAACTTTTATTATCCAACAATGGAACAGATATGTTAATGAATTTATCGAGAGATTTATAAATATATAATAAACATTGTCCTATAAACAATGTTCTTGATCAAATCATTTAGCTTCTGTTGTATGTTTTATAAAGTTTTACATGTATAACATTATCCGAAAGGCATGGTACATTTACATATGTACTTCTTTGAGAAATTAACAAATATTTATAAATGTATGTCTTTTATCTTGTGCACTAATTAGATTTCATTCTTGTTTCGCACATGTCGGCTTATTACACTTTTCTATTTTTATTTCACAATGCGCTCCTTTACATTCTACGTTATCTTGAATTGTTTGTTGAAAATTTAACAGACGCAGATTTTATGTGTTATGAGTAGGCGATGTATACAATTTTTGAAATTGTTTCAGTTTTATTTTCCATAAATTAGTTTTAGTTAAATTACACTAAATAACAGTTATAAATGATAAGCAGTAAACATTTTTCAGCTTCATCTTTTTATTTATTTTTATTTTTTATAATATAATTATCATTTCTTTAGTATTGTATCATTACATCATTTCTTTTGCATGAGTATAAACAGATTATACATTAAAAAAAAAATTCCTGGAAGAAATGTCCGAAAACAGCCATTTAGTTCAAATTTTATAAATAGGTCTTTTAGATAAAGAATAAATACTTCAATAGGATTTTTGGCGATTCGAGATGCAAGCCACCTTTTTAAACATTTTCTCGAATTTTCATTTTTTTGTTTTTGTATTTCTTATAAACTACCAACTGAATAATGTAAACAATATCATAAATGTAGAAAAAAAAATGGTCGCAACTTATCAAAAACATGAAATATATTTATTATATGTATAAAAGTCCCAAACACACATCGAACTCGGAAATCCAGAAGGTAAGTATTATGTTTAACGGAGCAACAAGATACATTTGTGACCTTGACATGTGTTGTCAAGGTCATCATCCTGAATAACACTCAAAAGGTTTATGCTATTGCTCACTTTATTAAAAAGTTATTAACACAAGAAGTTTGAATTGTTTTGATTATTGACGCTTAAATCTTTTATCTTATTAAATTAATGAATTTATTTTATATTAAAATAAGATTATGAGAATATTAGCAAAGGCTCCCATTCTTAAAATTTAGGAGGCGAAGTTATTTCATCTCCATGAGTCTCGCTTCCTCATCGACACTCTAATTGTGAACTTATCCCAAAGGACCTGGAATTTTCGGAATTTTACAATTTTCATATTACAAAAGAAGCTGCAATGAGAAATGGGGGCTTCGCCTCTCAGAATCCTCGATCTGGGGATTGAGAAGGCAAAGTTATACACATACCATTTTTTGTATATATAATGTCGCAAATTACCTTCTCGTTAAACTTTATTTGTTAATGACTTTTCAATAAACAATAAATAACGGCTAATACTTTTGAATAATACTCCGAATTATGATTTTTACATTTTATGTTAAGGTTAAAATCATTGCAAGAAAATACATTAATGTGTACAAAAGAATATTAAATTTGGAAAGAATATTAGAAAAAATATTTATCTTTTACTAAAAATTGTTTTGGGATATTATTTTTTATTTAAAAGAAGCCTATTTATAAAATTTGAGCCAAATCTGAACATGGCCGTTTTCAGAAGAATAGATAATTTCTGTGTTAAAATAATATGTATAAAAATAATATAAAAATTTTCAAAAATATGAATGATGATATTTCGATTAAATTTATTCTTCTAAGAAATAAATTACAATTTTATCGGTATAAGTATGTGAGGTATAATAAGGACAGTTGCATATGTACGTATTGCTGATTTTACTTTTCAGTGTGCACACTTCTTGGAATTCTTCTTCGGAATCAGATTCTGACGAGAATGATAACGTTAATAATATTCGAAGGCCTCCAACTCTCTGTAAAGCTGTAAACAGTAAATCTCTAAACAGTAAATCTCTACACAGTAAATCTTTAAACAGAACTTCGCTGTTGAGAGTGAAAGAGAATATCAAGTTACGAAAGAAGCCTATTTCTGAATCTTCGGAATCTTCCTTTGACAGCGATGACAATAGGAGGTATAATGTCTGAAAAAAAAAAGTTTTGAAAAGCGTGTAAAATAATTTATAAATTAGGCTTAGCGATGTTAACATTAAATTCTCGATCACTAGACAAGTCACCAGAAGGACAGGTACAGCTGTCAGTTACAAAGAACAAAGCGAAGAAGGGACCGATAGCGAAGATCTGGTTGAAGTTGAAGAATCTAATGCTGCATCTACAGAACCTGACAATGCGGAAACAATTGAGCGAATTTTGGGGCAGAGGAGAGGCAAGAAAGGAGGTAGGATCAGGACACAATGCTGTCAAACAAGATAAAATAACTGGAACAGTAAGTGTATATCTGTTTTATAATAATTTCTTACAGTTACCGGCAACATAACGACAATCTATGCTGTCGAGGACAACGGCGATCCTAATCCACAGGATCTGAGCGATGTAGAAACTGAAATACAGTATTTGATTAAATGGAAAGGCTGGGGTCATATACACAACACATGGGAATCGGAGGAATCATTGAAAGCACAAAAGGTATGATTGAAATTTTTCGCAGATACTTGATGAGACCCTCCTTAACACATTTACTGCGGCTGTCGATACATTGTCGGCACGAGAAAGCCGTTAACTATTCCTTTCCTGAATATCGACACTGTGTTGAACCTGATTTTTTTCTACGAAAAAATTCAAAATTAGATAAAATATAATATAAAATATTTAAACCAATGTATTGTAGGAGACTTTTTAACAAATAAAATGTTTAGCATCAGTTAACTATTTTTTGTCATGGGCGCCGCAATGAATGTGTTAATTGTAATAAATTGTAATAAATGTTCACGACTTTTATGCTTATCAGGTCAAAGGATTGAAGAAATTGGACAATTTTATTAAACGCGAACGAGATATCAAGCAATGGAGAGAAAGCGCTGGTCCAGAGGATATAGATTACTATGAGTGTCAATTAGAGCTTCAACAAGATCTCTTGAAGAGTTACAACAATGTCGAGCGGATTATTGGTATTGACATGTCTTGAGTCGAGAAATAAATATCTTAATTACATTGTTCAACAATAAAAATAATCGATAATTTCGAGTTTTAATATTACATGCATATTTAGAAAGTGAAGTCGTCACATATATATGTGTGTGCGTGTGTATATTTCAGCTGAGTACGAGAAACCAGACTCTGATTATCCCGATTATTTGTGCAAATGGGAAAGTCTGCCATATATCGAAGCTACGTGGGAAGATGGAGCTTTGATAATAAAAAAGTGGCCAGAGAAGATCACAGAGTTTCGTGACAGGGAGGATTCCAAAAAGACTCCGAGCAAACATTGTAAAGTCCTCAAATCTAGACCCAAGTTTCATCAATTGAAAGGACAACCAGACTACATGGGCAAAGGGAAGGATTTAGTATTGAGAGATTATCAGATGGACGGACTTAATTGGATGATTCATTCTTGGTGCAAGGAGAACAGGTAAGTTCTCGTATGAAGAACGACGATATTCGACGTCATTTTTTTCCCATTTAATTATACATATCTTTCTGCAGCGTTATATTAGCTGATGAGATGGGTCTGGGGAAGACGATCCAAACGATATGCTTCCTTTACTATCTATTTCACACCCAACAACTTTATGGGCCATTCTTACTAGTAGTTCCATTGTCAACGATGACTTCCTGGCAAAGAGAGATGTCTCAGTGGGCACCCGATATGAATTTTGTTACTTACTTGGGTGATGTCTCTTCCCGTAATGTTGTAAGTATCATGCCTCGTCACTTCGTACTATTTGATGCGCTAAAACACTTCAGATGGATCTGTACCGTGTAAATTCCTTTGTGACTTTTTCTTTTAGATCAGAGAACACGAATGGTGCTACAGTTCGAAGAGGCTAAAGTTTAACGCTATACTTACCACATATGAAATAGTACTTAAAGACAAAACATTTCTGGGTGCCTTAAACTGGGCAGTGCTGTTGGTGGATGAAGCTCATCGATTGAAGAATGACGATTCTCTTCTGTATAAAGCACTTGCTGAATTTAACACCAATCATCGTCTGTTGATTACCGGTACTCCATTGCAAAACAGCTTGAAGGAATTATGGGCCTTATTGCACTTCATCATGCCTATGAAGTTAGTTCCCATATCATACTTGTATTTCCATTAAAATTTTCATATTTTTATCGAATATATTTTTATATATAATTCTCTTTAGCATATATGTTGGGTACACGTGGAGATTTCTTTCTAAAGATAGATTATTTTTTTTATATTTTCTACTCTGACATTTACATTCATCGTATCGTTTCGCATACAGATTCAACTCGTGGGAAGATTTTGAGAAGGAACACGAGAATGCTGCCCAGAAAGGATACTCTAAGCTACATAAACAGCTGGAGCCATTTATTTTGCGCCGAGTTAAGAAAGACGTCGAGAAATCCTTGCCCGCTAAGGTCGAACAAATCCTACGAGTGGAGATGACATCCTTGCAGAAGCAGTATTACAAGTGGATACTGACCAAAAATTACAGCGCGTTGCGAAAAGGCACGAAGGGATCTACCATGTCATTCTTGAACATTGTCATCGAATTGAAGAAGTGTTGCAATCATGCCTTTCTTACGAAACCTAATGAGTCCGAGAAGAGAGATGGTAACGAGGATTACTTGCAGCAAGTGATCCGTGGCTCTGGCAAATTAGTGCTTCTGGACAAGCTATTGGTGAGATTGCGCGAAAAGGGGCACCGGGTTCTGATATTCAGCCAAATGGTCAGAATGTTGGACATCATCGGCGAATATCTGCAAAAGAAGCATTTCCCATTCCAAAGACTGGACGGAAGCATAAAAGGCGAATTGAGGAAGCAGGCGTTGGATCATTTCAATGCGGAAGGCTCGACGGACTTCTGTTTTTTGCTGTCAACGCGCGCCGGTGGTCTCGGTATCAATCTCGCCACCGCGGACACCGTCATCATCTTTGATTCAGATTGGAATCCTCAAAACGACTTGCAAGCGCAAGCTCGAGCGCATCGAATAGGACAAAAGAATCAGGTAGGCTTGCAATTGTCATATGATGTTCATTTACGTCGCCGAACAAGTGCCGTCTTCCGACAAACTTCACACTCTGTTTATCATTTCGTTGTAGGTTAATATTTATCGGCTAGTTACCAAGAACTCGGTCGAGGAGGAGATCGTGGAGCGCGCGAAGCAGAAGATGGTCCTTGACCATTTAGTGATACAAAGAATGGACACAACTGGACGAACAGTGTTGGATAAGAAAAACGCGGGGACCAATAGCAATCCGTTTAGCAAAGAGGATCTAAATGCCATTTTGAAATTCGGCGCGGAGGACCTGTTTAAAGACGAAGAGGATGGAGACGAAGAGCCAACCGTGAGTTTATTAGCATATCTTATATCCTTGAACAAGTATTTTCGCAAGTTGCTTATAATTATATACATGGAAGTTGTCTTAGTATTTATGATGTATGTGTGTAAACGTTTCCTGTAATTACTGTATTTTAGTGTGATATCGACGAAATATTAAAAAGGGCCGAAACAAGAGATGAAGGACCAGCGACAGTTGGCGATGAATTATTGTCTGCTTTTAAAGTTGCTAGTTTCGCTGCATTTGAAGAAGAATCCGAACCCATCAATCAGCCGAATGATAACGACGACGAAAGTAAGGATTGGGTAAGTGTGTAACGTACATATGGCGATTAATCCAAAGTTTCCTTTGTGTTATCAGGATTGCTACAAACTTGGAAAACTGGGAAAGGTCGTGTAAATATAAAATGTCAGGGAAAATCTGGAAAGTCAGGGAAAGATGTATAAAAATCTGGGATTTTGAACTTTGCTCACAATTTTCTTAAATGCTCTCAACTGAATTCTTTTTTCCAATACTCCTTTATTTTTTATTGGCTTGAATTTGCACATTCAGAATTATATTATTAAATTTTTAAGTTTGTGTTGCTCTTTTAATAATATAACCTTTCCTGCAACCCCTGCTTCTAAACGTTCAAGTTTAAGTTCAAGGTTGCTCGTGGAGAATTCTCTACTGTCGTCTGGAAAACACAGAAAAGTCAAGGAGTTTCAAAATTCCTTTTCTGCGGCAATCCCGTGTTACGTTAAAACTTATCTAATGTTATATAATAAAATGTGATTAATTATCCGTGGATTGTAGGCGGTGATCATTCCGGAAAACTTCCGCAAGAAAGTAGAGGAGGAGGAGAAATCCAAAGAAATGGAGGATCTTTACCTGCCACCGAGAAGCCGGAAGACCCTTCAGCAAATCAACGAAAGCGGTACGTGCATTCTGTCCAGTCATCGAGTTTAAATATATTCTATTAACAAAATGTTGCAATTTGCTTTTCGCGAAGTATGACTTATACGAGCAAACGGATGTTATTTTCTGTAAAGGGAAAAGCAAAAAGCGCAAGAAGCAGGATGACAGTGAGGATGGCGACGAGTCTGGTAGCGACGCGGATGGCAGCGATGACGAAAGGCCGGCGAAGAAGAGAGGCAGGCCGAGGGTCACACCGCGTGAGAACATCAAAAGCTTTACCGATGCTGAGGTACGGAGAGTCTCGATTTTACGCGAAACCGTTCTACACATATCTGTGTGCGTCTAATGATTCTATAATAACGCGTCTCTCGGCAGATACGAAGATTCGTCAAGAGTTACAAGAAGTTCCCGGCGCCTCTGAAGCGATTAGACGACATCGCGGCCGATGCCGAGTTGCAGGAGAAACCTATGTCGGAATTGCGTTTCCTGGGCGAACAACTGAAGTCGAGATGCGACGCCTGTTTGGCGGAGTTCGAGAATACCGCGAAAGAAAACAAGGTCGGTGAGGAAGAAGGCAAAGGACCTGGTCGCAAGAGAGGACGCGGTCCCACCTTTAAAATGGGCGGTGTCATGGTAAACGCGAAGTCATTCTCAGCCGCAGTTAAAGAACTCGAGCCCCTGGAACAAGCTCTGCCAGCTGATCCTGAGCAGCGTGCCAATTGGTACATTGATTTCAAGTAAGTTTCTAATTCACAACATGTTATGATACCGAGATATAAATCACTGTCAAGATTCAAGTGTCGAGCGCAGAATTGAAATACCTTAATGCTTTATTCGTTATTTCCAGGCTGAAACCGGCGAATTTCGACTGCGAGTGGACTTGCGAGGACGATTCTCGACTGCTGAGGGGCATATTTCAACATGGCATGGGTTCGTGGGAAGCAATCAAAATGGACACCAGCCTGAAACTCGGAGATAAGATTCTTTTTAACGGCAGTAAAGTACAGTTGAAGCGCATCAACACGCGCGCGGAATACCTGCTGAAAGTTTTGAAGAAGCAAATCGACGTCAAGTTAGGAGTGGTGAGATTATCTCAATTTAGTATGGTCTTGTTAAGCCTTTTTTGTTTTACTTCAACAAGTTTAGACACTGATTGTACATAATGCCTTTTTTACATCCTTCTATCCTTCTTCATACTTTCTCAGTTTTAACTTTAGATTGATTTGTTTCAGACACGAGCGAGGAAGCCGAGGAAGCCCAAAGAGATGAAAATAATGACCAAAGAGATCGTGGAAGACAATGACTCTTCTGGTGACGAGAATAAAAAACCGAAACCCAAAGTTGACAAGGTATGTCCTGAATGCGAGAACAAGCAACGCATCACATTTTATGAATGAATTAATGTGAAATATACGCACTTGCATTTCGTATTTTACTGCTTACAGCCGACAGTCAGGAAAGAGGACGAGGTTGTCGCCTCAAAGAAAGAGACCGAAAAAGATGCCGATGATTTGTCCGAGGAAAAGAAGAAAGACAAGAAGATTAAGAAGGACAAGAAAGAGAACAAGAAGACAAAGAAGAATAAACAACCAGCAGGTCCAATGCATTTTACGGCGAATAACGAACCAAGGGCTCTCGATGTACTTGGAGATTTGGATCCTTCGATATTCAATGAGGTTAGTATCATTTCTTTTACGCATTTGTGCATTTTTTTTTTACACAGCGAAGCCTGCAGTCCGCACCCATTTGTGATGGGTGTAGTGAGATCTAGATCCGGTCTTACTGACTCCGGTTAAGTTAATTGGTCGATTAAATTTACGCAGCATTTTTAGTGTATCATTAGATATTATTAGATCCAACACGAGAGCAAGCGCCGTGTACCGCAGTCTTCAATCTACGTAAAATGTGCATGATGTTCGAAATGAGAAATCATTTGATAATGATAAAACGTGTTTCATTTCGTCATATAGTGTAAGGAGAAAATGAGGCCAGTAAAGAAAGCATTGAAGGCCTTGGACAGACCGGACGAGTCCTTGAGTCCGCAGGACCAAGTCGCTCATACGCGCCATTGTCTCTTGCAAATCGGGAATCAGATCAACACGTGTCTCGCGGAATACCGAGATCCTGAGCAGATCAAAGAGTGGCGAAGTAATCTCTGGTACTTCGTTTCCAAGTTCACCGAGTTCGACGCGAAGAAGCTTTACAAGCTGTACAAGCACGCGATGAAGAAGAACACCGACAGCAACGGCGGTGTCTCTTCCAGCCCCGACAAAAAGGAGGATTCCAATGTCCCTAAGGTTGGTTATCTTTGCTTATATCGTTTATCGTTATAACACATCGATATCGATGTAATATTGTTTGTATAAGAGTTGTCGGTAAACAGTTGATAATCGATTCTTTTCTGTCCGGCAGAAACACAATGAGAAGCCTCACGACAAACATATCGAGAAACAGCAGGCGGACGTTGGTAGTAAAGATAGAATAGGCAAACGTAAGATCGACGATGTCGAGGAGAATTCGAATAGCAGTACCTTAAGTAAGAAACATCTCTCGGCTATTTCTGCTGTCGGTAATATCAGCAATACGTCCGCGGTTACTATCGGTGCTATTACGATTACTCCTATCACGTCGACGCCGAATTCCACATCGGGCACGACCAATAGCGCAGAAACGTCGAGACATAAGGATCAAAAAGAGTCGAAGCACAAAGACATGAAGAGGGACCGAGAACGAGATAGAGAACGGGATAGAGGACACAATGACAGAAGTATAGATAGGATAAGGGGCGGTAAAGACGACAGAATTGGAAGGGATAGCGGAGGGTATGGCATTGGACATTACAGCGGCAGTAGGGAGGACGATCACTGGCTGTCGAGAGACGGAAGAGACATGAGAGATAACAGGTATATAATAATAATAGTGAAGATATAAATATATCCATACAGAATTTTTTCCCGTTCAACACGTTTACTGCCACGTTGATTTTCATTAATCGTACAAACCGATGATTAAGTTACTAAATACAGTAAATAAATACAATTCAGAATACATAGAAGAGATATATGTATATTTCTTCGTTTCATTAGCTCTTTATTGATCGTACAACCTATTTTACAGATGCAATTGATATTTTATACGTTTTATATGCGATTTAACATAAGAAACACGATATCATAATATCGATCACCGGTGATTAAACATGTTAATTTCGTATATAATTTATACAACATATTGCTTATTCAATACTAGACCTGTTCCTTTTAGCTGAACTAGCTGCACTGGAATTTCGTTTTTTTTTTTTCTCAATATTACGTCATATGCTTGTTTCACTCTAAGCGAAAAGTATAACCTAGTTCAGCTAAAAAGAGAGGATCTCTGATGAGTGTTGCTGTCGCTTAATTTTATCGTCATTATCATTCGACAGATTCGGCGATCACAAGCGCGATCGCTTCGACTCATACGGGCGAATGTCCGGCGGTTATCACCGAGACCGAGACAGGGAACGAGATCGCAGTATGCACATGAACGACAAGAGGAAGTACGTTTACAATAATGCATACACCGACGATTGGCCTTACGCTGAACGATTCGTCTCACGAGAGGATTCCTTCAGTGATTATTACAGGTATCCGTCGGGACCACCGAGTTACGGATACGGTCCTGGTGGTTACGGTGGTGGCAGTGGCGGTGGTTATCCTGCCGCGGACATCGCCTCGAGTCACTTCAGGGGACGTGGCTACCCGAGTGACAGTTATTCCGGCGATTGGCGGCAGAACAAAGATTACAGAAGAGACTACGACAGGAGACCACCACCGCCGAACGCCAACTCCTAGTGCTCCTTCCTCGCCTCCATTATCTCGGACGAGTACCGCAAGGCAATTGTGATACCGCCACACTCTTGTACATAGTCTTCTACGTATGAATGCGAGTCGTGAGATGCACCGAATTGTTGAAGTGGTGTTTTTTTTTCCTGCGTGATTGTTGCACCGCTTGTATTTATATGTAAAGAAAGAAATCAATTCCAATCCAAATTTATTCACATTTACATTTATTAATAAATTAATCATATACAAAGCTCTCAGATCATTTCGTACATTAATATGTACGAATAAAGTCACGACGACGATAGCGTGAATCGCGAGAAGTCGGTGAGATAAAGAGAGAGTTTCCGTGGAAAATTACACGGACGACAACTAAATTACGCATAAGGGAACAGGCTCTTCGTGTTCTTAGCTCGCATTGAAGGGACGATCTAAAATTGGTTATAGAAAATTGCCGATCCGCTTGATCTGGGATCCAATCGTGTGTATATATCAGAGAAGTGCACAAAATTCCGTGAACTGAACCATTTTTATCGTCAGAAGTTGGTTTCATTTATCCGAATTAAATTTGATGAATGCAATTATATAATGAAATTAATTTAACAAATATGTTCGAGCTAAATTTTGTGCGTACGCCTGTGTATTTTATATCACTGCGTATATCAATTTTTTTTTTTACTATACCCATTACGTGATTAATATATTTGTTAAGTAACATCTTCCGAAATCATACATATTTTGCATTTTCGATATATAATTATATACAGAGATGTATGTGTTTAGTTCAGATACATAACTAGTTTAGACGCATAAATCTCCTCGAACTCCGAACATAATACCTTGACTCCATAATATGCAAGTCTGATGATGGCAAATTGTCTGATTTTGTTATTAACATAATTCAAAGTCCGACCGGTTTGCAATAGATACAACAAATGGACAGGTTTCATTATAGGACGATGTCTGTAAAATTGTACAAACTGTATTAACGAATATACACTCGTATTAAATTTTCTATAAAGATATTGAAATATTAGTCGTGCGAAAAACCCGTAGATGTACGCAAGGCGTCTGCCCTCTGGTTTAAGTATTTTTAAGGTCAATGCGCGTCCTTGTTAGTTTTTACTTCGACATTTTACAAATAGAAAATTTCATTACAAAAGAATCCACTACTCCGTCGTAAAAAAAAATATCTGTTCATTCGATTAACAAATCGAAGCAATCATAATTTTCACACAAATTCCTTCAAAATCATTTCGAATAGTAAATACTCCCATTCCTACTTTCTTTCCTTTTTGAGAAAAAATTTGTTTAGAAAATTCATGTGAAATCTAAATACGGTTTTCGTTTTCCATTTCCACGTGTACCGTATTCAGTAGCGTGGCTTGAATTGAAAGTCGCGGCAGGTAACATGTTAAATATTTATTTTCCTCCCTTTCTTTTTTCGAAAAAAAAATTTTAATTTGATAATTTATATACTTATTAAAACCTATATTTTTTGTCATTACATTACGTTACAAACATCACTTTATTTTTTTTTAACGACGTATGAACTTTTCATACAAAATTTTACGCATTTATCGCTTTTAAGTCGTGAGTTTTATCAAACGGATATATCTAAGTACAATCTACGTTTGACTTGAACCAGAACAAGAAAGCATTATCAACGCCTTGCGTACGATATTTCCCATGAAGTTTCTGAGATTGATTGTCAAATCAATCTCTCGCGTCCGTCAGCGAAGTACCAGCAACACTTGATATATTATTCGTTAATCACCGGATATATTTCGTGTGCAAATCAAAAAAGAAGTACAGTTTAAGACGTAACTTTTTCTCATAGTGCTTCTCTCTCTCTGACGTTTGTGATTTAAGGAGAACATCAGTAAAGAATGCTATTTTTGCGTTTATTATCTTACTGTATCGTATATATGATAGTTTTGTATTTTACATTGAAATCAATGTAACATAGTGTAAATAATAATGTAAGATTGATAGAATTATACTCCGTTTGTAACGAACTGACGAAACATTGAGATAGCATTGCGTTTTCTTTACTTCGCGCTCCAAGTGTAAAGAGGTTTTTGCTATCTCAGTCTTACCTTGTTAGAAGTAAAAAAAAAGTGCAAAGTCGAACAGATTTTAAGTGAATTTTCTAAGCAAGTTTTTCTTCGAAGNAAATAATTTTGAAGGAATTTGTGTGTAGAGATAATTATGATGCTTGCTTCAATTAACAATGGGCAATTGATAATTTTTTTCTTTCACAATAAGGTAAAGCTTATAAATTATAAAACATGCTTATATAACGACAAAATTGTATGAAAGTCAAGTCCTTATAAAGTTTTTCCGAATTAATTAGTCCAGTAAACAACATGGTAATATGATCTTTTTGCAATGATTATTATGTAGATCATTGTGTGACGAGAGATTATTCTTACTAAAGTATCAGTAAGGAACGCGTTGACATGTACAAGTTGTTTTACAAATTACTTTGCGCACACTATCTCGAATCGACTTGCTCGATCGTGGATATCTCGCAGTCTCCGTGCGCACTTGTGTAAATAATAGCGTGTAACTAAAAGGAGAAGAAAAAAATATATATTTGCGCGATTATGCATAATCATGTTAAAGAGAAAGTTATATTCGCATATTTTGTGTCTTAAATAATTGTTCAAGGACGGAATGACGATTGAACCGTCATAGAAGAAATTCGCTGGACTAGATTTTTATTTGCAAGATAATGCTTCACGACAGTGTGTGTGTGTGAGCTATTTATAATTTATTACTAGGTGAAGTACCGAGTACCGACAACAACTGTCGCCATGGCGAATCGAAATAGCGGCACTTTGTAAATATTAAATCGAGAAATAAATGATAAATATAAGTGAGATATAGCAAAATTAGTTTAATATCGTGCATATATTAGATGTATGTAAAGGTGATTATAATAACGTATTTTATCTATCTTTATTGTAGATTACTCAACGTTTCAGAAAATATATCTGCATTTTTCATGGCAGTTGTGTTGTGTCGTGTTGTGTTGTATTGTATTGTATTGTATTGTCACTTGCATTATTCCGTCATCGTTTATGTAATTCGATGGTCTACGTTTAGCCTGGAAAAACAGATTTAACTTGATAAGCTCAAACTATACTTTATAGTTGGAGCTCACATATACATACACACACATACACAAGTTATTTAGTTCTTTTTAAAACTTTGCATCGTTTCCATATCTGCGCTCTTGTATGTTTAATCATTTTACGATTTTATACGTCAGGTTGATAGAATTCGGCATTATTCGAATAAATAATTAGAAGCTTGCAAAAATTCATCGATTTTTTAATGACGAAGAATCGCATATTAAGAAAACGCATACTAAGAGTTTTTGTGTGTTATACTTTCAAATAAAAAGATATATCTACAAGATTACATTTGTGAACGATTCAGCACACTTGTAAAATTTGATGAGCATTTTTTCTCTAGTCGAATCAATAATATTAATATGGAACTTCCCTTTCTAATTTCTTTTTTTATGATTTTATCAATGTTGATTTTTCAACTTTTTCATTGATTGTCCGAATAAAAGAAAATTTTGTCCACTTTTTACAAGTGCTGAATTACAAATATCATTTTGTGGATATATCTTTTTATTTGAACGTATACCGCAAAGATTTTTCGTATGAATTTTCTGTGACGTCATTTAATCCGAGAATAATCATCTTATTTTTCTTTTTCGTAAACGATCACGAACACTTGATGGGCTTATTTCGTTTCTTAAATATTTTTTTTGTTTCTCCTCACTTTTTTCAAAAAATAGCGGTTAAATTTATAATGTCCCTAAATAATAATAATAAATCATAGAGTAATCGATAATATGCTATATTTTGTTAACAATAACTAATGACTAATGAAAGATTTTTAATTGGGGTCTAAATGAACCCAAGTGATTATGCCAGGTACAAAAACAGTCACAACGACTATTTAGGAGCTTTAATATTAACAAAAATTCATGCCATGTTTAATGAAGGATATATTCTCGTTCCTATCTAAAGCAATTGATTTGTTCTTAGCTGAACTGGCTGTGCTAGTTCAGCTAAAAAAAACAGATCAAATGTTTATGTCTAGTTGCACATTTTTCGTCGTTAACTAGTATATTTATCGCACGCTTAATATAAATTGATAATAGCCTAATAGCAAAATTTATCATTATATGTTATCATATTTTAAATATGCGTCTTATCTAATCAGAATAATTTTACCGATGTAATCACTTTAATTATTTCCATATTTTTATTCGTTCCTGAAGTCAAAATTTTAATTTAACATAGATGTTAAGGATTCGTAATTTTTTAATTTTTAGTTAGCATTATTCTAAAGTTAAGCATTTTTAGTTAGCATTATTCTTAAGTTAAAATTATTTTAACACAACGATGAGAGACACGACAAACATGGAAATTTGATAATAACGTTCTGTAGTAACGTTAGAAAAAATTATAAGATATTTTTCTCGTTAAATTTTCTTAAAAAAAAATTATTGATATACACGCTTTTTTAATTCTCTATTGCCGAAATTATTGATTAGAACTTTAAGGAACGTTCAATACGTAAAAATCAATTAAAATGAAGCAAACGATAAGTTCGAAAGTACGAAACTTAGAATTGTCCTTCTTGCGAGAAAAGGAAACTCAGATACGATTCGTATACTTTGTAACTTCGAAGTAAATAACAATTATGAAAGAACATAGGGAAAAATAAAACGGTAATAAAGAGTACGTGTCTTGAAAGTAATGTGGTAAAATAGAACGTAAGCGTAAGCTTAATGAAACGTTTTCGAAATAAGCACAGATATAAATAATACGATAACGAAGTTGCTAAACATTTAACCTGTTCTTTTAGCTGCACCAATTCAGTAGCGCAGCCAAAAAGAACAAGCCAATTTATTTACCACTGAGCTCGTAGAGTTGCAACGAAGATATGTAAATTCTAACATGAATAATGCGCACTTTTGAAACATTGTGTAATCGACTAGTCGCAACGGTTGCAGACTGAAGTGAATGTGTAAAACACGTGACGTTCTAGAAATAGAGAAGTTTTCCAGTGAAATAATGGGCGTGCGAGTCAATAGTATTTTCCGGATGTATTTAACCATTTTCAACGGTTGGTATGTCTCCAAAGTCGCTTATCGATAATCGATTTTATGCAGCGTAACGACGTATGAGACCTGCATCAGATGACTAGTCATTTAGGTTGCTTGCGTATAGATGTGTCATTCTGACGTTATAAGCTCGATAATTAGCTTGCTTCGAAGCAGTAATCCGCAGATAAATCGAGTGAGTATATATATTATGGTGACTGTAATTCCGTCGCTAAAGGATTAGATTGTTTTATTTATATTGTATATAATATCCACTTGTATGTTGCCGGCATTACGACAGCGAATGTGACCTTAAATTAAATATTTGGTTAATAAGGATAAGTAAGGAACAGTCAATTGAGCATGGGCAGGTCATAATCTTGGAAAAGATATAGTTCATAGTTAAAGATACAGAGTACAATTTTAGATTTGAAAGTAGTCTTTCATCAATAATCTGCCATTGCTTGTAAAGTGTGTCATTAATATTCAATTATTAATCATTTTTCTTAATATTTAGGATAACTTAATATTTAATATAAGTTAAATTTAAAGTAAGTGTTAACAGTTTTTCTAATATGCTTTTTTAATATTAAATTTAATAAAAATTTGTTTACTAAAAAGTGTTTAATATTAAATTTCATATAAAAAAAGCATACAAAAAGAACTACTTATTAATTTCAGAAAAATATAAAACATGAAATATTTAATTAATAAGTATTTTTCTATATAGATTATTAGAAAATGGCGAACAACCGTTTAGATATAATAATATTCGGTGCTACTGGATTTACCGGAAAATATGTAGTGAAACGTGCAGCTTATCTTTGTAAAGAGTGGAAATTGAATTTTGGCATTGCCGGTCGCAGGAAGGAAGCTTTAGAGGCTGTGCTTAAGGAATATGCTCCAGATGCTGGTAAAATCAAATTAATTTCAATGCTATATATTCTGTTTTACTAATTTAATGTTTAAATGATTTTGTTAGAATTTAATTATCTTTCTAAGTATTAGCAATAAATTATTCTATATGTTTTATAACAGATGTTTTTGATTCTGATATATATATATATATATATATATATTGCTTTCCAGAGAACGTACCTATCATCTTAGCAGATGTTAATGATGAAGAATCTCTAAAGAAAATGACAGAACGTACAAAGGTACTGGCTACTTGTTGCGGTCCATACATTATTTATGGAGAAGCAGTTGTTAAAGCCTGTATTGCTACTCGCACACATTATGTCGATGTCACTGGTGAATCACAGGTATCAACACACTTCTTTTACATCAAATACTATAAGAATCACTCACTTATGCTCTGTTATTTTCAATGTTTTGTAGTTCATCGAGAAAATGCAATTGCTGTATAATAAAGCGGCGCAAGAGGCTGGTGTTTATATAGTGAGCGCTTGTGGCATGGACAGTATTCCAACTGAAATGGGAATCATCTTTGCACAGAGAAAATTTGGAGGAGAAGTTAATAGCATCGAAACGTATGCGATGTTTGACACAAATGAAGTTATACTTCCTTTTATAAATTACACAAGTTGGGAGTCTCTGGTGCATGTCTTAATGCATTGGGATGAATTGAAGGAGATACGCGCAAAATTATACCCCGAGAAATTGCCTGAGTTCAAGCCGAAGTTAGAGTCCAGGTATGCTTTTTGCAATATATCTATAATATATTCATTTTTTTGCACGCGCGCTTAACGTTTATAAAGTATGTAGAAATTATGCAAATGGAATATGCAACTACACGCATATAACTTACACGCAATAACTTATAATACGATATTAAACGGGTTATCTTTTTTCGCAAAGCTGACCTTAATAAATATGTAAAACCAAAGATAACGAGTGGTGCAGCGAGTATTTAATCTTATAAAGCGCGTAATATTACTCAATATTAAGCAATATTTATTGATAGTTATATGTCCACCCCTAATAATATTAAAAAAATAATATTATCTAATGTCACTGTAATATTATATATTTTTTAAATATTCAATTCTATGTATATATATATAATATATATAATTGTAGTTTTTTTTTTTATTTTAAATGTATTGCAATACTAATTGTGGTATTATGTGAATAAAATTGAAATAATTTTGTTTAAAAATACGTTTTAAGAATATTATATGAAGTAGACATATTACATTAATTAATATTATTAATGTAATATGTCTACTTATATAATATACTAATATAAATTAAGAATATTTCTATGACATTAAAAAATATCACATAACATTCTTAGAATATTATAATATTTAACCCTTATCGATCGTAAGTCACCTTTCACATAACAACAATACTTCGTCGCTGCTGTCGTACGTCACGTAGGAAGTGACAAGTTCGCATATTTACCGAAACCAGCTACAACCTAGTGAGAATCACGCATAAAAAGCTAGCGTCCGATAAGGGTTAATAATACTCATATAATATTCTAGGAATATTACGCGCTTATAAGATTGTTGCTTCTGTATATGTTTGCGATTTTATTTTTTTTAGGGGTATCATACACAAAAATGACATTACCGGAGATTGGTCAACAATATTTTTAGGCTGTGATCGTGCTGTAGCTTTAAGTACACAGAGATTTTTGTATGACAAATACAAGGAGAGACCTGTACAAGTTCGCACTTACATGTCGTTGAAGTCAGTATAGCGACATTGATAGAAATACTGTGAATGTTTGTAAAATGATTTCTCTTAACGTTGACATTTATTGCTAGGTCTTTCTTTATCCTTTTGTTATTATTGATTGGTGCTACGATCATCATGTTGATGACCCGCACGGCGTTCACTCGTAAATTACTTCTGAAAGTACGTACGTGTAAGAGAGAAAAAGAAATTGTTCTCGTTGTTCGAATTATGTTTCTCGTACGAAGACGATTTTTTACTACTACTAATCGAACATAACGTTTGCAGTATCCGACTCTATTTTCTGGTGGCATAATAGGACGTAGCGAAAACATGTCGCACAAATTATTTAAAAATACGCGTTTTACCATGATATTTAAAGCCGTCGGGTGGAGCGCAAAATTGGCTGAACCTACTGACAAGCACACGGATCCACCTAATAAGGAACTAATTACGAGAGTCAGCGGTTTTGAACCAGCATACGGTTTGACTTCCACTGCATTGATTTTATCAGCGATTATGATTCTTAAGGAGGCTGATAAAATGCCGGACAAGTAAGCGATCGCTCATCCGTTGAAGGCTTCTTGGATACTCATTGCAACTGTTTTTGTTTAATGACATCAGAAGCGCAAGTCAAGGATTTTTGCATTATACTTTTAAATGAAAAGATGCATCCACAGAATGACATTTGTGATCGATTTAGCACATTTGTAAAATTGTCCGAATATTTTTACTTGAACAATCGATAAAGAGTTGAAAAATTAACATTGATAAAATGATCAGGAGAAAGTTAAGAAAGAAAGTTAATTCTATGTCAAGTTAATTTTACGATTATTTATTAATTATCCAAGTAAAAGAAAAGTCATCAAACAATTTTACATATACCGAGTTGATAAAAAATGTCATTTTACTTGTTCATCTTTTTGTTTGAACGTATAATGCAATAGTTTTTGGCGTGCGTTTTCTCGTTTCTAACGTCATTAAACAAAAACAGTCGCAGCGAATACCAAGGAATCTTAATGCTCTAATCTATCGCGAGTATTTCTGTCTTGAAAGATTTCGAAAGAACATCATTTTGTGCGCATATGTGTATTGTGTGTATATAATTAGAAGATTGTGCTTATAATTTATGTTCTTCTATTATCACATTCTGAATTTAATTTTATTCATATTATTTTATTTGATGTTTTTACAGAGGCGGAGTACTTACTCCTGGCGCTGCATTCGGGAAGACATCTCTGATCGAAGAATTGGAGAAAAATGACGTTAAATTCGAGGTGATAAAGTCTAGCGAGAATTAACCCTTTGCACTCGAAGTTTTTTTTCATTCATATTACCAGCAACTCGAAGCAATTTCAGTGGAAAGACCATATTCACATATAAGTAAATGATATGCGCGTTAAAAGAAAAGTTATTGTTATTTGTTATTGTTTTTTTAATTTTGTCAATAGTTGTTAATAGTTTGTTTTAAGTTTGAAGAAAAATTTTAAATGGCTCCGCTTCGGAGCCCTCGAGTGCAAAGGGTTAAAGATACTAGGCATACAATCCTAGTAGTAGGTATTATCCACACAAGATATAGTGGACTTTTCTAACGTGTTTTGCGTTTGGTTTTGATACTAATACTTGTAGCAGTTTTAGTATTTTGCTTTATATACTCATAGTTTACATGATATACTTCCATGAGAAAATCATTCATAAAAAATAGTAAACACTTCATAGCATGGATTGAGTGTGAAAGCATAATTAATAAGGAAAAAAAGTATAAATTTTATATTTATAAATTATTAAATTATTACAGATTAGAAAACATATTTTTTTAATTCTAAAGTTGAATAATAGAGAAAAATAATATATATATATATATATATATATACATATATA